GCAAGGGCTGAGTTCAATCCTCGGTTCCACCAAAAAAAATTAAAAAATAAAACTGAAACATAATTTTAGTTGTCTTGATTCAAGTAGATCTGAATAGTCAGTGACTCATGTCTAAACTTACCTCGAGTTTATCGCTTCTTCGGAAGTCCAGTGTGAATCACGCCGATTGCTAACCTTCCCGTGGCATGTGCTCCCTGCCTAACCCACCAACCTGTCTTGCCCGCTTCAGGAACTTTCAGGAAAGACTTCCAGGGTGAGAAATCAGGTGAGGAGGAGAGAATTAGAAAAACTGAGTGTATCTGAGGAGGCGACAGGTACAGCCTAGACAAAGAGAATGGGTTCTGAACTGATCCAGGAATGGAATCTTATGAAAGACGGATGGATGAGAAATTACAAAGTAGCAGGTAATATATAGGCATTTATGACCTGAGACGTAACTGGACGGCCATTCCTTGTCTGAATGCCAGACTAAGCACGACCATTTATAGTTGGCTTTCTTCTTCCAGACAGCCTTCTCACAGATCTGCCTAGGACTTACAGAAAGCAAAAAAAATTACATTGAGAAGAAAAGCACTAAATCTGTAAATTGTTGAGATTAATCCCAGTAATCAGTGTCTGTGAGTTCTAAGCTATAAATAACTGCATGACATTGAATAGCTCCATGAAGAAGGTAATGATGGTGGTGTTGGTGATGGATGCATGTTATGAAATACAATTTTCAGTTTGGAAAATTGTTGAGATCAACTAGATTTAGTCTTCGTTTTTGTTTTCTTGACACATGATACTCATTTTAAACCTCTTTGAAAATGTAAAAAAAAAGAATAAAATTATTACATTATTGTTTTACTTTTGCTGTTGCTGAGACAAAAATAAACAATACCCAAGATTAAAGGGAGGAAAGTTTTATTGAGCTCACAGTTGGTGGAGTTTCAGTCCATACTCGGCTGGCTCCAAGCCAGGGCAGCATATGGCAGAGGACAGCAGTTCAGGGCAATGGAAGAGAGCAAAAGCAACAAGAGAGGAACAGAAATACCACTTTCTGACTTTCTGTCTCTTACACTGTATGCGGTTACTGCCCTAGGGTGGGTGCAGTGCTCAGACCCCTAATCTTAGCATTGGACCATGAGTAAATGATGAAAAGCCTGACCTCCCCCAGCTCACCCCAAGCTTGCATGAGGTATTGGGGGAACATTCAAATGCAAAGCATGACTGTCAATATTTGTGACTGGTCCATCAATCATTTATTTAATTCATATCCTGTGTTTACAGAATCCTGAAATTCTGGGGTGTCAAAGAAAGGAGGAACAAAAATATTTGATCATCAGACTTGGATTGCAGCAAGGGCCTCCAGATAGCCTGAGCTTTGTAAAATGAAGAAAAAATAATACACAATACAGAAAAGCACAGAAAGGGCTAAGGATATAGCTCCACAGCGCAGCACCGGCCTGGCAAGTGTGAAGTCATGAGTTTGATTTCTAGTACCACCCCCACCCCACAAAAAAAAGGAAAGGAGAAAGATGGGTGAAATGGATGACTATTTGTGGTTCTCACTTTTAATACTAAATGCCTTGTCACATTTCTGCCCACTGTCCCTGACAATCTCTTTTGAGCATAGGAATTTTGTATGCTTCCATTCAGAACAACAGTAGTAATACTAGCTAAGTCGTAGAGGTGGGCTCTATGGCCATCAACAGATGATTGGATAAAGAAACTGTAAAAAAGAAAAAGAAAAAGGAACTGTGTTGATGCTCAGTAGAGCACTGCTCTGCCATAAGCCAGGATGAAACTGAGTCACCGAGGGAAAATGGATGCACCCGGAGACCATCGCATGGCTTGAAATAAGTCAGACAGGCAAGATTAAATATCACACAGTTTCTTTTACATCAGAACTGAACATATGCCTAAAGAACACAATAAATGTAGCTAATAGGAAAAGAGAGATAGGTCTTTTGCAAAAGAGAAGTGAACCAAAATGTAGAAAGAGGGAGAGGAGAAAAAGGAAGGAGGTAAATAGAATTAGAACATGTCACATGCATGCACCAAGTCCTCACGGTGGATGCAGTCGGTGTGCACTGTAGGCACGTGCCAATAAAAGCTAAAATTAAAACACAAGCGCAACCAGCAGTGGCTTTGCACTCACTCGTGCTTACCTCTGTCCTAACGCCAGCTGCAGGAGGAGAGGGCTGCAATCCCTAATTTACAGGTGAGGAAACTGAGGGGCAGAGGACTCACATAATATAGTCAGTCACACAGCTGGAGAAAATACGGAGGCAGGAACCAGATGATCTGATGCAGAAGCCATTAAAGTGAGGGAGCGAGGGTGCAACCACTCCTCTGGGAGCTATGAGGCTCAGGTGCTAGGCTGGCAGCCCAGTTCTGGTTCACTCCCTGTGTAAAGATTATCCTACTGATAAAGCCCTATATATTTGCACTGAAATTAAATTTTCTCTCCAGTGTAGACCCACAGCACTGCCTCACTTTCCTGCTACGTATGGGAGTAAGTTGCCTTTTTTTTCTTATTATTATGGCTTGCATTGTTTTCCTCTACTGAATATTTTCACTTTGTAAAAGCCTGCCATTCTTTTAGTCAATCTCAGACTCATTCATTCTTAGATATACCCTTTCATTATATTTTTATCTGATTTATTATAAAGCAGAATTTGATAGAGCAGCATACACATTTTTGTTACAATGAAATAACAAATAAGCTGTCTGTCTTGGTTACTTTTTTCTCATTGCTGAGACAAAATAGCTGGCCCCCAGAGTTAAGGAAGGAAAGATGTATTTAGCTCACAGTTGTGGAGATTGCAGTTCACACTGAGGTGGCTCCAAGGCAGGGTGGCACATGGCAGAGGGCAGCAGCTCATGGTGGCTGAAAAGCAAAAATGGAGGAGGAGCAGAGAGCGAGCCTCTCTCCTTTCTTTATATCGCCTGCAGGCCGCCTGCCCCAGGGCGGGTGTAGCACTCATACCCATACTCCCATCGTTGGACCATGAATCCATCACAAGCTCTAGAAATCTGCCCCATGACAGCATGAGGCTTTGGGGGGACAGCTAGAGAGAAACCACAGCACTGGCATTTATATTGTACTTGCAAATTGTTTTCAACTTAAATAGTACTCCCAGTAGGCACACATAATGTACATTTGAGAAGTTTGTGCTATTGCTTTCATTTCAAATAGAGAGTAGGACACTCAGAGAAGTTGAGGTACCAGCCAAAGCCCCTGGGAATCAGATGCTCCAGCCTGACTCAGCCTTGGTTTGCTGATATTTCCTGTTCTACCCAATCTGGGTTTATGTAGTGTCACCTTGGCCAGTGACTCTTGAGAAGGAGGTCAGCGGCAGCAGTGTGACAAATGATTTGATGAGCATGTCCCATCACGAAAAGGGTTCCTCCACGTATATATTTTTTATTTTTTTATGTATTTGGTACAGGGTCTCACTATGTAGCACAGACTTGTAGAGATCCCCCTGTTGTCAGCCGGCCTTGGATCCAGCTGAACATGGACTGAAACATCCATAAACTGTGAGCTAAATAAGCCTTTCCTCCTTCAACCTTTGGTGTTTTAGATTTTTTGCTCAGCGATGAGAAAGAAGTAAATGAAACACCAAGTCATGAAAATAAATGGAGGGTGAAAAGAAGAAGGAGGCTTTTATAAAACTTAAGAGAAATATCAGTACCAATTTCTCAGAATAATCATGACACTCCCCCACTTGCTGTTCTGACTTCAACTAAGGCAGGAAGATGCCTGGGTCCCTACAGTGGGAGGCACTGAGGACTGTTGTGCCCGAGGGCTATATATACCACCGGGAGTACTGGATGGAAATAGCCACTTCTGTGCAATTTTGGGGTGCTTTCCACGAAGTCAGCTTTGCGTTAATTAGTCAGTTAAGTTATCTTTCTCTTCTTTAGTAATATATTCATCCACACACTGTAAATGTGCTTTCTTGTGGATGAGACTAGAGACAAATTAATTATGCCCCATTCTAACAATGACTTTTGTTCTGATTTCTATGGAGAGTGGTAATTTATGCATCACTTTCAAATATGATGTAATATCTAGAAAGTGTCGGCATGCTGGCCACGCCCCCGGGGTGCACTGAGAAGGCGATTGAGACTGGGCAGGGTGGTGCACGCCTGTAATCCCAGCTCTTGGGAGGCTGTAAATAGGAGAATCACTACGAGTCTGACGTAGTAGTGAGACCCTGAACACCCTGTAGACCCCTCCCTAAAATACAGAAAAAAAAAATGTTGGGAACTCTGTCTTTCAAGGAGGGTATGTTTCAGCCACAATTCAGATTTCAGCGAATGCAGACGTTACTTCATGTATCTAATGCTCATTCATCTGATATTTATTTGATTAATAACATTCATAAAATTTAAGGAAGCAATGAGAAAGTCCTCACCAGTGTCTTAATCAATGACCCAACTACAGAACCCGGAAGGTAAGAATAACTTTATAATAGTCCCTGTAATAGTCCTATGATCCCTAATATTATTAGAAAGCCTTTCATCATTTATTCGTGCAACTGAGTGTTAACTCACAATTTCTGCTTTCCATCTCCCACCTTTCCCTGGGCATGTCACAGCTTCCGAGGATGATGTGTATGTGTCATTTAGCATATAAAAGCCAGTGAGAGGCAAAATGGTAAATATTAAAATATCAAAAAAAAATTAAAAAAATATCAAAGGAAGAAGGCAATAGCAAAAGTATAAAGTTCTTTTAGCACACAAATGCCTTCTTAAAATAGTCAATGGAAGGTTGTGTCTAAGATCTTGAGAGAAGGAAATGCCTCAGAAGCTAAGGATAATGCTAAGGGATTGCAGGTGTGGTTGGCACTGCCCCCTGCACGACCAGCTGTTGTGCTGCATGTGGTAACTAATGACACGGACGCACCCTTACATTGTGCCAACGTTTTCACACCCTGCAGAGCTGTGGATTCACCACGTTGACTCAGCTTGGGTCCGTGGGGGCTGTAGAACCTCCCCACAGAACTCACCTTCATTGTATTTGCCGCCGGCTGCCCACACACTCCTCCCAAACCCGCAACTTGATGAGCATAACTTTTGCAAATCTGTGAGAGAGAACAAAAGAGCGTGATAAGAATTGCTCAGAAAGTCAGTAGACCAGAAAGAGTAGAAAATTATCGAGGAAAAAAATAGCTTTTTTGTTCTACTACAGCTGCACTAGAACTCGTGTCTGGTGTAGGTCAAATTTGTCTGAAGAAGTGTGTAGGAAGACAGTTTTTGGTAAATTACAATAGAAACTTAGCAGGTGGGAAGCTTCACTTTGGTGTTATGCAAGTTGACTTAGTTGTCATCCTTAAAAAAGCTTAGAGCGGCCCGATTTTCCAGTTAGGAGGTGTGATCAAATACACAGTAAATGTTTAATCACACTTGTCTCCTTCTGCCCCTCTCTTTCTGCCTCTCAGGTCTCTTCCTATATGCCAAAGATCTATCTATTTCCTGTTATCTATCTTTTATTTTGTTTAAGTTAAAAAATGATCACAGTAAAGGACAGAGCGACACGAGTCCACCACGAAGCGCTCTCCCTCTCTTTGCACGCGTGCATGCCATGGCTCATGGCGCTCTCTGAAGCAGTCCAGGAAGTCCTGCCTCGTGAGTGTCCGTAGCTGCACTGTGCTGGCTGCCGTGACATCCTGAGTCCCTTAAAGCCCTGCCCTATCATGGCCACTTTGATTTTGTAGAAGAGGCAGGCTTCACACAGTTCCAGAACCAGAGATTCAGGTGGCTGAGGACAACCTATAATGGTTTTCATTTTAAGATTGTCTACACACTTAATCAACAAGTGATGACATAAAAGGCAGTCCACGTTTAAATTAAAAATATTAGTACAGTAACAGTCATGTCACCCTTAATCCTCTTCAAAATCCTCCCCTCACTTAGAATGCACTGTCTGCATTATTCGTGCAATGAGAATTGCAAGATTTGCCATAGTTTTTAATCTCCCTTGTGTATTCTCCAGGGATGAGTAACATTTTCTTTTTTGTTGTTGTTTTTTTGATTTTTGGTACGAGGGATCAAACTCAGGACCTTGAGCTTGCCAAGCAAGTGCTTCAACCTCTGAGCTATCTGCCCAGGAAGAATTTCTGAGAGTATTCTGTGCACCCGACTCCAGGAGCTGTGTCTTTTTCCTTGCTCACTCCCTGAACTTCTTTTTAACTCTGCTAAAGCACAGAAGTTCCCAAATACGGCCAGCAATTCTTCATCACTGAGATTTTCTCATTCCATTTCCTGTGTCTAGAACACTTTGCTTACCCACCCCCATGAAAAATCTACTCTTTAAAACTTTGTCCATAGGCCAGCCAAATAGCTCAACAGATTAAAGCATCTGCTTAGAGACAGGGGCTAGGAGTTCAATCCCTGAGCATGCCATGCCGGCCCTGCCCCTGGGGTGCACTGAGCCAGAGATTGAGACTGGACATGGTGTCATGTAACTGTAATCCCAGCAATTGGGAGGCCGTAAACAGGAGGATCCCTATGAGTCTGATCTATACAGTGAGACCCTGTACACCCTGAACACCCTGCCCTAAATGGAAAAAAAAAAACCCAAAACTTTGTCCATCATCAAAGCAAACTTTCCAAATGTCTCCACTGAAACACAATGATAACATTTTTAAAAGGCATTCTTTGAGAAATGTATGTTGGCCTTAACAGATACCTAAAAGGATATAGGAGGAAATCCACTGTATCACTCGGACTATATAATCGTAGAGAGACTGAGGTCTCCAACCTATTTCTTTGGCAGAAAAAGGAATAAGTACATTGACTGTTACAAAACTTCGGATTCAGTGCATATTATTTAGTCTTTGTGCAAGTTAAGCTCCTGGCGTAAGCGCTTGTCCATAGTAAGCATTCAGTGAGTGGTGGCAGTCACCTGCTGCTTAGGCCCATGGTCACACACTTCCTTCTTTGTATGCTTCCGGCGCTAGACCACTGAATTCTAAAGGTGGACAAAACCATTCAGAGCTCATTTCTCCACCCTTATCCCTGAATTATGTATTTGACCCAGGGCTGTGTACCAACCAAGCTTCTTTTTGTATTTCAATCAAAGCTGACTAAACATACTCATTCAATATTTTATAAAAGTAATCCATATTTTAAGTATATCAACTAGGTGAAATTCAATTTACACTGTGAGAAAAAAAAAACTATTTTTAGACAGTGTCTCATATTTAGTTCAGGCAGGGCTTAAGCTCACTAGGCAGCCCAGGCTGGCTTTAAACTCAGAGCCCATAATCGGGTCCCAGCCTCCCCAGCAGAGAGCGTGCAGGCGTGCGTCACCGCACCCTGCAGTAGAAGAACACTGCGCTGTAATAATCCATTATCTGGATTCTGGTTCTTGAATGCATTTACAAGGCGTGGGCTTGAAGAAATCACCCGATACATACATGACACAGTAATCTATTTATAGAAGGTAAGTCTATTGTGTAGAGTAGAACTGTCCTATACTGTGTGACATGAAAGGCCTTTGAATGTTAGTTTGTGGGACATGATCTGAAAAGAGAAGCAACAACCTCCGTACTCAGCCTCTCCTATCTTACAGAGAACTAGGCTGTGCCCCTGGGCCTGTCGCCAGTTTGGTAGGATAAATTCACCTGGACCACCAAAGAGCCTAGTCTGTCTTTCCAGGAAGATATCTATATTTGCTAATTGTGCTGTTAAAATGGCGAAGCAGATAAAGAGGTTTGGCAGAGACAATGAAAGATGAGGCCAGGATGAGGAGGCCACAAGGATTTGCCACCGCCATTGGGTGAAGGTGTAACATAAACAGCTTGCACGCAGCAAAGCATTTGGGTAGACCGTGGGATTGAAAGACGAACTCCTCTATAAGACACGATGCATAAAATGTGGGGAGAGAAAAGCCAGAAGGGCTGTGGAGGGAAGGAGAAAAAGATGGAGGTGGAGAAGTCTGTTTACTAACCTCCAGATGAGCACATACAGAGTGTGGCAGTTACAACAAAGTTATGAGCACACCGCTCAAACCCGTCATGCAGCGGGCAGCCCAAACGGATCATCTTGTGTCTTCTAGTACACCATGAACTACATGGGAAGAATATTATAAAGAAGCTCTATGTACTGAAAGTAACTTGCAGGAAACTTGCTGTGACAATGACGTGGAGAAAGTTGTGAAGACGTTGCACAGGGACCCTCGCACCCCCCAGAGAGCGATAAAGACAGACCGGAGCTCCCACAGTTTTCAGCAGTAGAAAAGAGTCTCCGTGAGCAATACTACCAAAGACACTTCAGCATTTTACAGGTGGCTGCAGAGAGCGTAGAGAGGCGAGACGGAGCCAGTAGGTCACGTTATGTTTCAGTCTCAGGAACCCTGACACTTGCTCTTCTTTCGAAAGTTACGGATACAGGAGGGAAAGCCAGGCAGGTAGGAGATGTGAGGACTCAGGTTCAGACAAGTGTATATGACGAGTCATTGGAAGAGAAGAATGCGGTGAATGGATCCTTAGTCAGTAGCCACAGATAACTGGCAGAGTGGGAAAGACAACGAACTAGTGAGAGCCACAAAGGATAGTTTTAGAGGTGGATTTTGGCTACATCAGGGGAGACTGCAGGGTCCCACACACATGAACAGGCGTTCTTTTGCACTTCATCTGTACATGTCATTCAAAATGCCAGTTCTTGTGCCACCATGTGGACCTCACAAAGCCAGTGTTTCTGCAGGAAAAGGAAGTTATAGAAAGTCTGTCCCAGTTCATCCTAAGAAATACAGATGTGAACTGAAATATTTCACTGAAATGCAGGTTTCTAAGCTGGGCAACAAAGTGTAGTGGTTGTAAGAAACAACAACCACTACAAAACAAAAAGTGGGCTTGCAAGTAACATTCGCTCTAGGTTATGTGGTGAATATCATGAAACTTGCTATTCCTTTAAACCTCCCTTCTGGGAATTTATGAGAAAGACAAAGTTAGGTTTATCATTTGTTCAGTGGAATGGCCTACAAAACTCTGAGCAAAACTCCCCTAATAAGTTACCAAATTAGAATATGCTTATTGTTGGAGGAGCTGTGCACATCCTTGCATGAGGCTTGGGGATCAGGGGGAGGAAGCCTTGTTTCACAAGGTGTTTAATGTGAAGCCGAAGCTTTAAGATTACCTGCAGGCACTCATTGATTCAATGAAAAATTATCTTTTTTTTTTTTTTTTTTTTTTTGGCCGGCTCAGTCTGTCCTGAGGGAGGGGCTGGTGCAGCATGTGGTGCCGGGGATCAAACCGAGGTCCCTGTAGTTGCTTAAGCTTACTTAAGCAGGCACTTTTAAACCCCTGAGCTATCTTGCTGGCCCTGAATAATAATCTTTACAGCAGATTTAATCTGAATTGTGCTATCTGATATGCTGATGCAAAAATGTCACCCACAACTAATATTCTCAATTAAGAACCAAGTTTGAGTGAGATATTATTTTACTGTTGTTTTGCTTGGAGTTCTTTTCTTTTCAGAGACAAATTAGTTCCGATTGAAAATGAGTTACCCCAAACTAATTAATAACGTAGAGGAGTGCACTTTTCCTTAGTTCATGTAGCTGTAAATGAAAGATTGAACCAAATGGTTAGCTTTTTAAAAAAGAAATTGAATATATATCTTCCCAGTTGTTGAATTAGGCCAATAAAATATTTCTTATCAAATCATCTGCCACTGGAAAATTCTTGAATTTGTAACTCAGGTACAAGTGTGGGATATGGAGTGGATATTAGTAACGCATGGGGTCAGACAAATGAAATAAACAGTTTTTAAAACATAAATCTGGGGGAAGGTAAAAACCAATAAAGATGGGGCTGGTGAGATGGCTCAGTGGTCTAAAGCACCTACCTAGAACAAGCTTAGCAAAGCACAGGGACCGCGGTTCGATCCCCCAGCACCACATGCCAGCCAACCCCGCCCCCTGGTGGGCTGAACTGGCCACACACACACACACACACACAC